CATGTCTGGGGGTTAACCTGGATGTGCATACTTTTTTACAAGGGGCGCCACAAGAAATCAAGGGGCAGCTGCATAGTTGTATTAAACTCAACGGTGATCATTCAGAGAATTTAAGGGGAGGGCATCCGCTGGGGGACGTGCCCACACCCCACTGCACCCACCATTTTAAACTCTTAGTGATGACCACAATCTTGGGCAAAAATATGTGAGTTAACTGGATAACAGTGAACAATTACTGAAGTGAGCAACATGGGATGTGTCGCCGACAGACATTCGCGCTCTGTAGATCAACACTAACAAGTGGCAGGAAATGAGCGGGTTTGTTTCACAGGTCGGATTTACTGCATTCTTTTTGTGCACTTGATATTGGACAGTCTCGTGAGTACACCTGCAGAACATTCTCTGTACTTTAATATACATCTATATTCGTAACAGTGGACGGTGATTGGTCAGAGTGGAGCGCATGGAGTGGCTGTTCCTCCCGCTGCGGTACCGGCAAGGCCTACCGGTCCAGGCGGTGTTCCAACCCGCAGCCCCGACACGGCGGCCGGTACTGTGAGGGACCGGAGTACGAGGAAGGAACGTGCTTTGACGATTCCTGCGTAAATGCAGGTGAGTCGTAAAATAATTAACGTTTGAACAAAAACAAACCAATGTGCATTGGCAAAGGGTCTGGCAAAATCAAAAACATATAATGACTAAATTCAAGCCAATTTGATACAAACAATTAATACTCGCGCGCATTCTTATACAAAAATTCGTTAATTCGGTCATTTGTCGATACATTATCGTACATACAGTTGGTGTTTTACTGACTCCATGGTCCATGTGGTCGGAGTGTTCAACCACCTGCAACGAAGGGGTCAGAACCTCCACCAGACGGTGTCACGGCAGCGACGCGTGCGACACCGGCAACGGGCAAGTCGCAGCGATGCTCACGAAGGAGACTGCGTGCCAGGGTGTCCTCTGTCCCGGTAAGACAGGCGAACATTGTGGTCTGGACCAGTGACAGCGTGCTGTATATTCCCGTCGTTTTGCTTGATAACTTTCAATATCAAGTTAAATTCTAGAAGCTTCAAGTATCTTTGTTTTGTTTATGTCAACGAAGCCCTTTGGAACTGCACGACATTCCAGTGACTCGAAATAAGTTACTCAATGAGTAAATTGATATCCTCTCAAGTGAATAAATATACTTACGAGTAAGGGGTCGAATAATGTACGACAGAATAAATCAAGCTAACTGCACTCAAGGCGTTCCTTTTTACCGAAGCCAATGAAATCATTTTTAATGTCCGCATCTGACAGAAGTAGGAGGCTGGAGCGAGTGGAGCGCTTGGACGGTCTGCACGGCCATCTGCAGTAAGGGTCAGCGTATGAAGGAGCGGACGTGTAACAAGCCCCGTCCCCACGGGCCGGGAAACGACTGCGTGGGAGAGTCCACCACGGCGGAAGAATGTAGTCATAACGCTCCGTACTGCGAGGGTGTACCGAAGTTTGTGACGAGTATGTTCAAGCGCGTACATCGCTGTGGCGCTCGCACAACAGTGCACATTTCATACGATTCTTTTCCTGTGAAAATTTTCTTAGTCAGAAATTTAAGTTTCTAATTACTGCCTTATACAAACAAAAACGTTTCTACGCCGGTGCTGCTGTGTGTAATCGTTACTATGAGCTAACAAGTTCAACCACGCAGAAATAAGTATACTTATGCTTTCGTCTCAATGCTGTAAGGTCCAAGAACAGCTGGACAACTGAAAGTTTTCCAAGTTCATCGGAATATCTTTGATGGCTTTAACAAGTGAAATCGTCTTTATTTTAGTGTACGAAGATTGGTCTCAATGGTCGGACTGTAGCGCCCCCTGCGACGGTGGGGTGAGAATCCGCCACAGAACGTGCGTGGAGCAAGGTCACCCGTGCCGCGGCGACCTCTACGATCTGGAGATATGTAACGCCGACTTACCGTGCAAAGGTGACCAACACAAAAATGCTAAAAAGTCGACCGCTCACTGTTGAACGATAAAGGAGGACTGTTAAATTGTTTCCTTAATCTAAGACATTAAACAAGTAGTACCTTATAGAAGTGATGTGGTTTCGGATTTTGTAAAGTAAGGGTAAAGTTAATGGACATATCTCAATATGGCAAATAACTACTTTTGCGTGTCATCATAACTCGAATAACGAGTCCCGCTGGCGAGTTTAACGGCTATTCAAAACAAAACGATAAAAATCTCAATCGAATTATAACATGAAATGCATTAAAAACAGTGGGTTTTGTTCTCCGAATGGCAATATCTGTAGTCACTGCCTTTTTTATCCGCAAAAAATATTATGCAAAATCTTGTAATTAAAGTCTTGTTTGTAACATATCACCCTTGTCTTTCTGCACAATGATGTGAAATTATCCATTAGTGGACGGTGGCTGGAGCGAGTGGACTCGGTGGTCAGTTTGCACGGTGACCTGTGGAGAGGGAGAAACAGAGCGGCACCGCCAGTGCAACCAACCACGGCCCGAGTTTGGCGGCCGGACCTGCCAGGGAAATGCCAGCGAGAAGAGGAAATGTCTCGTCTCGGAATGCCCAGGTAAAAACGCTCTGCAGATTATTTTCCTCCACCTAATCGGTGCGATCGTGATAGTTTTAGCCAACAGCGCTTGAAAGAGAATCTAAGAATAGATTTCCCCTCACGCCTCAGCCACAATATTTTTTATGTAACTTTTTCCCAGGCAGGTTTCACACTTTGTAAAAAACAAACGATGTAGTTGTTAGCACGAGATAAACCATAACGAAGCGCCATCTAAAACGTTCATTTTTTTCTGGCAGTTTTTGTCAAACTTTGTGCCCTGCTATCAAGAACTACAATGGATGATGACTGGAAAGCACACATCAAAAAAAAGACCATCGAACACAAGAAATGATGTTACTGCCACCATTTTTGGACGACAGAAACCTAGCATTGTGCTTGATTACTTTTGTTGGAAACCTTTTTCTGAACAGCGGACGCCCCTACTTGGGAATCTTGGGGCGAGTGGTCCCAGTGCACCGTGACGTGTGCGGGGGGAACTTCCACACGAACGCGGGGGTGTAGGGTAATCTACGCGAATAACGTTCCGATGTTTGTGTCCGTATCAAGATGCGCCGGAGAATACAAACAGAGCAACGTTTGCAACTTTTTACCTTGCCCAGGTAAAACATTAGATTTATTTACATTATGTACTGTACTTTCTTTATAAAAGAAACAGAGGTGAACCATAATCTTTATTTACACACGCGTTTTACTCCTTATAAAATTGCTCCCAAGGGTACTCTTGGTTGCAAGATATCCATTCAAGAATAAACATAGGATTGATATGCGTGAGGAGCATAATCTAAAGCGTTGCTATACCTTTCCCTTAACATAAAACTGAAGGAAATACAAAAATAAGTCACAATCACAGGCGAATTTATCAAATGAAAATAAAATTCTCCAACTGCGCTTGAACGTTACGTGTCAGACATGGCTATTTCCCGATCAGAGATGCTTCAAATAACCATTTAGAGGAAATAATCCCCTTTTTTCTAGTTGATGGAAATTGGGCGAGTTGGGGAGGCTGGGCCAGTTGCAGCCGAAGCTGCGGCGAGGGCGTGGTGAAGCGGGACCGCACCTGCACGGACCCGGCACCAGCAGGCGGAGGGGAGGTGTGCGGAGGGTACGGGACGGAGACGTTGCTGTGCTACCAACAACCCTGCCCAGGTAGGAGCTAAGAAGGAAACCGAGAGGCGCTTGTTTTGGCGTACACATGAGAGTATTCGCTTTAACTTAAATGCTACTGTTTGATGGTACTGTTTGACTGTAACACTTCAAACTAACAGCTCAGAGTAGGAATTTAACGACCGCACATTGCCGAATTCATGGATGGTAAGATCTATCTCATTGGGGTCGATGACGATGAAGGTGGCTAGCTGCTTGAAGCGTCGGACAAACTTTGCATTTGATAAACATTTGCTTGAACGAAGAAACAAACTGCAGCTACATAGGAATCGGCGATCTCCAGCAGTCTCATATGTAGTCGAGACACGTGGGATTTTGAAATGGTTTAGATTGACTGAAACAGAAAGAGATAGGAGTAAAGTTTCAGGCACTTTAAGTGCTTAGACTAATAAGGAATTATAAAATTGCTCATGAGCTGAAATGTTCCATACCGGCGGTTCTTCATATTCGTATACCCGTGTAGTCCCTGACGAGATCCTGCGCACTTTCGACGGCACCGGCTTCATGATGTACCGCCACGCCTCCGCACCCTCGAAACTTCTCTTTATATACATGCGCTTCAGGCCCGCCGCCCCGAGCGGCCTGCTGGCTTTACGTCACGATGACGTCCACTTACAGCAGGTTGTCACGGTCGGTCTGGCCGGTGGTCACGTCCGACTGTACGCGAAGGTGGGAGAGGCTGAGAGTGCAGTCGTGAGTGCCAATGGATTAGTAAGTCGTTTCGAAATGTACATTACAACAACCCTATTCATGTTATATTATTTACGGTCAAACTTATACCTTCTTTGTTAGCAGAAAAGTTTGGCTAACTCAAGCCGGTAAAATTTGTTTAAAATTAAATGTATTTCAAGTTTGCCAGGTATTGCAGACGCTTACAGATATATGAGCAAATTCTGTTGGTGAAGTTATCGAGCTCTACAGAAAATTTTGCGGGAGGAATTTACATTCAAGTGGGCTCCTCTTTTCCGTTGTGGGGGATGCCTGCCGTCCGTCAAGGTCTGCCACTGAGAATTACAGTACAAAAGAGCTCCTTTGTCCACGAGAGCAGCAACATCATGTAACTTGATGCCTTTTGTGTGTTTTTTGGTGATTCTGAGCAAGTATAATGATCATGAACATGATCATCTTTCAACCACCAGCATCTGCATAAATGGAACAGTGTTGTAGTGACCATTAGCGGAGGGCGCACCAGTGTACGCCTGAATGACGGCACCCCGGTCTTTGGCAACTTCAGCCTCCCACTGCCCTCTCGCTTGAACTGGGACCAGCCCATGTACATCGGCGGCGCCTTGCCGTATCTTTTTCCCGGGCCTGCGCACGAATACATCGGTGAGTCTGGAAAATTAATGGGGCCTGTGTTTTCCCACATGTGGCTATAGGCCTATATATTTCCCCTTCAATGCATACCTTCTACAAGAATTTCCATAGCGTGACCGAAAGCTGTTACATGTATTTCAAAATGAGAACTGAAAACAAAGAAAGAATAACCGCTGCAGCAAAATTAACCAAACTACTACCGATATACGGAAAATGCAAGTCAAAATAAGAAGCAAACCTCGTTCCCTTCGAGTAGATTTTACTCTGTCCGTCATGTGCAAAGTCTTATTGAAGTCTGCCTTGTTGTAATGTACGCTAATGTTCAGGGTTTCGCGGAGCCTTCTCTGCTCTACGAGTCAACTACAAGGAGTACAGTCTTCACGACATAAGGCCAGAATGGACGGGGTTGGGACTGCCGTTTGTAAGCTTCAATGTTGGCACTCAACCGGCAGGTCAGCAAGAGAACACTTAGAAACCAGATTGAACTGTCGCACAGGAATGAAACGCGCACAATTTTGAAAGCATTTATTGGAACAGTCTTTGGCTGGTTAAGTTCTTTTTTCGCACTCTCAAAGTTCGAAGTTCACCTGTAGTATAAGTATTAGAAATGAAGAAAAGCCAAAGTTAAGCCCTTGCCCTATCCTGGTTGAAATTGAAGAAAACGTCACATTGAAACTGCTTTCCCTTCCCAACATTTTGCAAATACGTACTTCAACTTGTCCCTTGCAGTGTACTTTGCCTGCATCTGTAACAGCCGTTAATTCATCTCTATAAAAAAAATGAGATGGAAATTAATTTACAGTGGTGATGCACTTTACATCAAACGTTCAATGCAAGTAATGGCACGCTAGCTTGCGTTTTCCTGCACAACACAGATATTGATGCCCAGGTGCCGGTGTTCACCGGTGACGAGTTCACATTCCTACCGTGTCAGAACACCACAACCGGCCGCAGACCTTTCTCCCTCAAACTCACCTTCAGGCCGGACGGCCCTCACGGCATCATTCTGTACGTCACGGGGCTGGTTCCGGGCTCATTCGTAGCGCTGACGATGATCGACAGTCACGTTGCTCTGGTCGCCAGTCTGGCAGACACCATCGCATCGGCCAAGAGCGTTGAAATATCCGTAAGTTCCGGTCTTATCTGTGTTTTACTTCAAATTGGCTGCTGATGATTTGACAGCAAGCCAACTCCAGACATGAGAACCGAGCCGTCATACCTGTTGTTCACATGACAAAACTGCATTTTTGTTGTAAAACAGTTTGGGATCACCAGGAATCCCCTCCAGTATCAACGAAGCCATTTACTTCGAAAAAGGAAACCGTGCAAGATGAGCCTATAGAGTGATAATACGACCCAAAACAACCGACACCAACAAAACACAAGCGAGGAAGCGAGAAGGTGCAGCACATAGCTGTGAAGAGCTACTGACTTGGTGACCACCATCTTGGTTTGGTAAATGAAAGACTTTCATGTTGTATCCTCTCAGTTATCCAGATGGGCGATAGTCAAATTTACCCTTCGAGGTGCTGAAGCCGAGATGCGCGTGAATGGCGGTCCGGCCATCCAGCTTACCATCCCGGGCACCGAGTTCGTCCCGGCGTTGAGGGTCAACATCGGAGGCGTGCCGCTCCCGCACAGGGTGCTGGCTCGTATGACGACGGGCGTAGATAAAGGTCTTGTGGGGTCGGTCTACGAGGTGACTATCAACGGGGACCAGTATTTACTTACGGAGACAGCACTAAATATGGAGGACATGTACCTCAATTCAGCGTCCACCACACTCGCAGGTATTAACGCGCCGTTCCATAGGCCTGTGTACGTTTTTGGGGTACGTTGCGTACACGATGCGCTCATGCGTTTAACTTTCACGGGACAAAAATCGACTCCATTAACATAACACGCGTGTGCGTTGCGTTCGGCCGTCAAAATCGCCCCGGGAGCGATTTTCACGGATACGCAACGCTTGGCGCAAGAGTTGACGCGCATTATGGGATGGCACCTTTCGTAGTTCCCAAACGCACGACAACCGCTTTAACTACGGAGCAAGTAGCACCTTCGTATTTATACACCAACACGATTCGTTACACGATCGGTGCCCTTGCATCCAATATGGTGTACTATTTATACGACACACATTTCTGCCTCTCTCTAGCTTCTTTCAAGGCGACACAACTACACGACACGACGGCCATTACGTTTGTACACCGCAAAAAACTGGGGTGTTAAATTTCACACCCCTGGTGTTATCAGAGGACTACACTAACACTTTTCATTGGTGTTAAAATCTTTGGTATTATTTGGTGTTACTTTTAACATCCTCCTGTGCACTGTAACACTTATAGGTGTGCTAAGTAACACCGGTGGTGTTAAAGTAACACCCTACGCTATGCGGTGTGGTGATCAGATAACACCAAAAAGTGTTGATTTTAACACCACAGTTTTGCAGTGTACACACGACGTGTCGCATCGTGCGTTGCGTCGTGCGTCACGTCGTGCGTCACGCGTCGTACTGTCTTACGGCACGACGCAAGAGAGCCGTCGTGCTGTCGCGTCGTGTAGCTGTGTCGCCTTGGAAGAGGCTAGAGAAAAACAGGAATGGGTGTCGTAAATAGTACACCATGGTTAAGAGTTCCTTAACCCTCACAAAGTTCCGAACTGATGCTGGATTCAAAAAAGAGATTTGCAACCCTAAATAGCATATCCTTGACCTGTTAAGCAACTGAATCTTTGCTCAATATTCCTCAACTAACTTTGCATAAACACTCTTCTGTGCCATTTGGAAAGGTTTGTGTCGTCTCTATATACAGTACAAATTCTGAAATTCATGCTTGCAGCTCACTACCGGGAAGTCAAAAGACTACGTCACAGCAGCGTTGCGCTTCACTGCAACTACGCTAACATTCATCACGAGAACCCCGTGGTAACGTGGCTCCACGGAGACGGGTTTCTCGAAGCATCAGCCCACGTCAACATATTCAAACCGGTATAATAGAAATCATCACTACTAGACCAACTAATAGTACACGTATTATCATTGAGCGATACAGGACGGCGTCAAAACACTACAACAATCGCTTGTAACATTATTCAGCGCTGAATATGGGTCTTTCGTACTTAAGCACCAGTCTATTTGAGTTCATCCATGTTTAGTGTTTCTAAAAGGTTGGAATTCTTAGTAATAATATACGAATAGCCTACCCTCCATTTTTGAAGTTTTAAAAACAAATTATTACATATCACGTTTTGAATTTCAGTGATCAGCGAATGATAGATAATGCAGGATTTGTTAACAAAACAATCCCGGGTGTAGCACTTCATTTCTTTCCTTTCTATTTTTTTCCCATAAAACACAACCTGAAAGCAATTTCAGGCAGGGCAAAATATTTACACAATTCTCCGAATACTCAGCAAAAGCTAAGATTGTTTTTATTGTTTTGATTTCCATTTTCTTGCAGAATGTCTTTTTCCCGCACAGGTCAATTTTGAATTTGCACACACTCAACTCAGACGATGAGGGACCCTACGCATGTATGGTCTGGTACCGCGGCAAAGCCGTCATAACACATGCTTTTGGTGTTTCGGTCTTCGAGCCTCCTGGTGAGTACTGCACCTGTCCGAAAAGCAGAGGCATCAACCCATAAACCACACTTCAGAATTTTCTATAATTACCACATAATAACATGATCTTGTGCCACTTTTAATTTCGCTGTTAAATTTAGTTATATTCAAAGCACTTGCAATTTGTAAATTGTTTATATCTGCCGTTTGCTGCTCTGTGTACTTACAGCAATCGAGTTCCAGGTCGAGTCTAATGTTGAACTGATGGTCATTGGAAATATCGCCCTCATCGTTGGCTTCGTCATTGGTATTCTCGTCCTGTCATGCTTCAGAGTGTGTAGGAGAAGGTCAGTGCATGCATTCACAACCAAGGTCTTTAACGTTGCATTGAAAACGTTTAAATGTACCAGTCCTTTTTTTGTAACTTACTTAAGCTAGTGTAGCAGTTTAAAGTTACTGAAAAAAAAGATTAAAATGGACATCAAAGCGATAGGTTTCTACAGAATCTGTCAGTATATTTTCAAATTTAAACATATTTTACTTCAACAAATCCATGGCTTCTTGAGACATTTTTCCCCGGGCAAAAGGTAAAAGCAATTTCCTGTAACTTTGTTTCCATCTTCCGGCAATTATGCAGATACTTCTTCTTGGACATGATTTACCAGTCCACCGTGTTCTACTTTGGGTTGGATTCTTGCGCGTGTCTGAGGGATCCCAACATACCCGATCGCGCCACCGTGCTCCTAGTCAACGCTACCTATGACGAGGATTTCTCGGCCCGCGAGGAGAAAATCAAATTTGACCAGGCTCTGAAGAGGAAAAGGCAGGACAAGTTGAAGAAAAACACCAAAGGGTTCATAGAAAAAATAAAAGCAAAGATCGCCAAGGCAGGCGGCAAAGATGACGCGGAAAAGGTCTTGGGTGATGCCGACATTGACAAGGAATCTGCAAACGCCGAGCAGTACAAGACGGGTAAAAATCTGGACAAGGAAACATCAGTACTCACGGAAAAGAAAAATGAAGCATCTGAGATGACCACTGAACCAAACACCAAGTATTCTAATCAGTCAGAAGAACGAGAGGAATTATTGAAATCGATGTCACAGAGACACATAAACGAGAACCAGGCCGCAGGTATGTATGGAGAGGTCTGTCGGCAGCCCAGTGAATCACTGAGCGACGGCGAGATTAATCTAAGGCGTCTCTCCCACGAGATTGTGACCGGGAAACCGGAGTCGTCATCCTCGGGTTCTTCGCTCGGAGGAGCGTTGCCGGAGGCCGCAAACTTCACGGCAGCGCACAAGGGGGACAAGGGCTCCCTGAGCTCCTTGGCGATTCTAGAAGACGAGAGACAGGCGGACCTGGACGTGGAACCACGCAACAAAGAGGAGCCGGTCTACGTCAACATCGATACTATCCGGGAGAGAAGAAGACAAAGCCAGTCGTCTGCTGGGAGCCTGAGGTTAATGAGGAGAGCTTCGTCATCCGCATCTACTGGCTCGGAACCTCCACTGGCTCCACCTAAATTGATGTCATCAGAGGAGCCTGTGGAAGTCGATTTGGACGCGGTCCACGATAACTGGCGGAAGAGCAACATCTCCCCGGAATTACCGAGCGACTATAGTGCTGACGGGAGTGCGGTAACCGATGCGAGAACGGAGGACCGGAGACGCGAAAGCGTGGCCGAGGCCGGCTGCGACGCCGGGCGATTGTTCAGTCACCGGGGTTCAATAGGTGGCGCTGTCGCCAAGCTTTCCGAGGCGGTTGCCGAAGAAGTCCAACACACGAGTGACGGCGCCGGTGAAATCGACGAGGGCGCTGCCGAAGACGGAACGCCAGAGGAAGACTTCCCAGGAAGGGAATTGAGTCTTGTGGAGGAGGAAGTTGACGAAGAGGTTCAACCGCTGCTGGGCGTGGGCTCACCATCGTCAGCGAGTGAGAAATATGAAGGGTCCTCGGAAGAGGCCGGAGATGATCAAACTGCGAGTGACGGGTCACTAACCGAGAGGGAGAGTAGTGAATGAAACGTGTTTTCCGATCATTGGCCCATTTGACAAATCTAGAGGTTAATACACTCATTGAAGGCGTTCCTGATGCAATAGTGCTGAAAATACCGCGTGGCGTTCCTGGAAAATGAACACTGAAACCGTATTTCCTTTAAAATTTATAGCCATGGACCGAGGGAAATTAGCTTGCGCAGCATGAATAGCCAGACAGCAGCATCTTAAAGACAAGTTTAATAATGTTTTTATCGGTGTATATATAAAAAAAATCTTCATGCGTCTAAATGTTTGTGATTATATTTGTCCTGATTTGAAGTCTACCGCATATATCTGTTGGCAGAACCTGATTCTTAGACGGTAGCTACAATTCTTGTTTTTGTTTCCGTATTCTACTTTTAATGCTTTACTCCTTTAAAATAAACAAACTGAACCAAGGATATCTCAGTGAGGTTTTGATAATGAGCATGATTCCCAAACTTCGCTTTGAAATCGTTCTGATACGTTGTTTCTCGAGCTTATGCCAATTAAAATGCTGTTTTATTAAACACAATCTTTAGGCCTGTCACAACTACCTCGATTACCAGCGATTACCGACTTATTTACTGCAACTTGTAATCGTTGACAAAGGTGTCGTGAGGAACCTCGTACTTTGACCCCGACGAGACTTTCGGCTTTTCCAAAAAGCAACCGCAGTAGATTAAATCAATGATACATGTAATTCGTCTCATGGGATTAACTTGGAGCTTTTTGTAACGTTGATTGAATGGGAAGGGGGAGGCTTCCATCACCCTCTACGCTTTTCAAAAATGCATTATACTCTGACACAAAGAACTTTCGGTTTCTGGGAGAGCCGAAACTGTCCGGGAGTGATGCAAAAGAGGCGTCAATGAATTTACTACGTCATTACCAGTGACAGAAGTAATGCAATGGTTCAATGATTTTAGTGGTGTGCCGTAAAATTTATTGTCTCCCTGTGAAACATCTGAATGCTTTCTATGGGACTAGGCCTATAACCCATGTGAAAAGTACATGTTGCAGAGAACGCAAAGCCGGATAAGACAACACATCTGTAATCCACTTCAATGAAATTCGTCCTTGCATGTTTGATCAGAATGCGTACATCACTTTCTGATTGTAAACTTGCCTGTTAGAATGATCTAAAGCAGGTGGCATAACTTTTCTTGTGCTCCTTTTAGGATTTAGGCATGTTTTACAAGCATTTACAAACTCACCAGCAAACGAATTAGATTTAAGTTAGCGGTTGTTTTCATCGCAGGATTCTCTTGAGGAGAAACGGCGTCAAATGTTTTCGGTAAAGATCATAGCGCGATCGATGATAGAGTGTACCGCACGTGCGAAATACCACTACCACTGCGTTTGCAAAAGTGTACAGTCATTTTATTGTGTTTCATTTCCACGAATTATTCAACGTCTGAGCACTGGAATCGTGGTCACAGACTCTGCACTTCACACACCATGGAGCTTGGTCATTGTTCAAACTGGCCTCAAGCTGAGTGGATTAGCTCCGTCACAACAATGCAGTTAGTACGGTTTGATGAAGTTATTTACTGGACAGCTTGAAACGTGGGGATGCATGGACCTCATTGCGTCATTATACTAACCTGAGCCTCTGGGTTTTGAAAACACTCTTGATGAATTAAAATTAGGACGAGAAAGGTCATACTGATCCATCAAAATACAACTTATGTTTCCATAGCTTCTGCAAAATCACTGATCAAAGTCGAATGCCCCAAAACAATATCCATTGTTATATTTTTCCCTTGTTATTATGCATGTATATACATGTATTCAACAACCATCTTAATTTTGTCAATGATGTCACTTATCCGCAAATGTCATCCGGCATGTAATCAATTCATCTTCGAAACAAGGACGTTGCGGGCGATGAGCGTGACATTAAACTTTGCCCCCGTCAAATGACACATATTTTTGGGGTAGTGCAAACAACTTGGACATGTTTATTAGTCACGGAAACAGAGTAGGATCTTTACTCTTTGAGAAAAGAGGACTTATAGAAACCACTGAAACTAGTGAAAACAAGACTTCCATGCAAAATAAATGTATTCCAAATTTAGGTAAAAATTATTGAAAATCACACATTTTCATAAAAAAAAATGTATACATTTTATATGCTAAATTATGCTTCCTGCCGTTATCAAATGTTTTCGTTATTGCACCCGCATTCGCGGAACTCATCGAATAATTTATTTCCGAGGAAACTAAGTTTGACATTTTTATAGATCAATCGGAAATCACAACATCTGCATGAAATGATGGCATTGCAACACACCTCCACAGCACATCTTACCGTATACCCTGCGTTAATTTCTAAAATATTCCCAGTGCAGTTAATTATTCACGACGTATTGTTATTATTCATTACGCAGCGCAGCGCAAACAGCCATTGGCCAAAACAGCCAAAGGTCATTACTCGGATAGCGACGAGCCACCAATGACAGCGCGCACACCGTTGTTGATGTCGGTTTCCCTTGTTGCTACGTCGGGCTATCCTCATTCATGCTGCAGTATATTCGGCGTTTACGCACATGTTATGGTTTAGAATCACGGCTGACAGCTGACGAAGAAAGAGCCCGCGTACCCACGCTATATTTTACCTATAAGACAACAGTTTGGATTTAAAAAGATATTGGTCTAGTCTCTTAAAATCACATTACAAGAATTGCGTTTGTGCATGCGGAGGTGAGTTGATTCGCAAGTTGGCTAAGTCCAGTGGAAAACGCCTTTCTGGCTCTGCCACACACACCCTGTGGGGTGTCTGCCGGCGTCCGACGGCCCGTCTACACGGTCATTTCACCGGTGTGTTTGGAGGTACGTGTAGTCCGCTCCGGAGTCAGAAGGTTTCTGAAGTTCTGCTTACTTCCGACGATTACATTGGCAACTTAAAGTCACCAGGTATGAATGTGGTATATGTTGTGCCTAATGTTGTGCCTGACTTGTATCGGTATTTTCTAGCAAATAAGTTTACAACAGGCGGGAAATGTGAATAAGCGTCTGGTAATTTCTGTCGTTTTATTTAGTTTTTACTGCGTAACGTTAAGTGTGTGTACACCCGGGGCCGGTATCCGTATTTGCTCAGTGGTTTACAACCTGTTCGCGTTGTTGACATGCGGTGAGATAAGTGCCCCTGCGTCTTACCGTTACATTTGCAAATGAGATTACAATGTATTATTCTTTCCCATTCCTCAGGGCGAATTTACTTGTGCACTGCAACTATTTTTGGAATAGGCCTAACTTACAATGTACTCATTAGCATTTAAAAGTTAGGCCTATGCCTGTCACCGATTTTCTTGTGTCGTAAGCCTATTAAAAATAGCATTTTCAGCTGTTTGCCCGTGGCAGTTAATCAAGGAAGTAGCTTTTCAAAAATATTTATGCAGATTATGTCAGTGATTTTTCCCGTAATGTCAGTCTGATACTGTGCAGTCTTGTGGTGAAGTTACATTCAAGTCCTCCAAACATGCAAATTTCTCCAATCTAGTGATTTTTAAAAAATAAAAACTTGGTTATGTTATTTATTTATAGGAACCTGTCAGTTGGTCAGATAGTGAGGCCGTATGGCCACCAAAGTGATCACAGTGCCCATCATGAGCACTTCCACTACTGACGCAGCTAGCCGCTTCCGGCAGAATTGGCTGTCTCGCAACCCCTCGCCGCCCCGGCTGCCGGCCAGCAGCGGCAGCAGCGATGCCTCCAGCAACGGTTCCACCGAGTCGAACCTGGACGACAGCCTGACCAGCCTGAACTGGCTGCAGAACCTGCGTATCATGCGGATCCAGCAGCCCACGCCACCCAGCAGCCCTGCCCCGCTGGGTTCGGCCAACCAGCGGCTCAACACCACCATCACCATCCAGGCCCACAAGGGGCCTGGGGGCCGCAGCAATGGGCTGGGCACCACACAGGAAGAGGCCAAGGCCATTTCTCGCATTGGTAGCCACCAGGCGGCCACCACCACCAGCATAGATCAGATCGACTACAAAACGAACCAGTTTGTCAAGCCGCCGTATTCCTACGCCACTCTGATATGGATGGCCATGAAGGCCTCTAAGAAGAACAAGATCACACTATCTGCAATCTATAAATGGATAACAGAAAATTTCAAGTACTACCAAACAGCAGATCCCAGCTGGCAGGTAAAAATTCAATGTTTGATTTATTATAAAAGCATTTAATTTAGCAAGAGATCCATCTAGCTTCAGACTTTATCAACCAGACAATTCAATTTCAATTCCTGAAAAAAAAATCATCAGAAAAATTGACTCATCTTCCAAAACCTACTCACACAACTTGTGCCTCTGGACATGCACTGGCCAATGTGTAGTACAACAGAATAAGGCCAGTAGGGGCACTCTAACAGGAAACAGTCTAAAATCTTGAGAGTCAGTGGCAGAACTGAGACATTGTTACATTTTATTCCTCTGTGATTCAACACACCACTGGACTTCCAGTCTTATAGTGCTTCAATTCATAAAGGATTGCCATATCTGTATGTTGGCATGTGCTTCAGACCTCTGGCATTTGAGTTTTTATTGTCACTATCAGAAGGGACATCAGTTGTGAACACATTTGGCCAACCCACTGCCCTACCCTTGAACAAGCAGCAAACATGTGGGCCTAATCATTGATAATGCTCAGATTAAACTGTTTCCCCTCCCCCCCCCAAGAAAGAAGCAACAGATTTGTCACACAAAATTGCATATTAAAACTGAACTCAGTCAAACTTTGAAGTTCCTAGAAGGCTGTGGACAGCGCCTTGGATACTAGAATTGAACACAAGAATGTAGGGCTGAGTCAATTCAAATAATTCATTATTCTAATATTCGACCTTCAATTCGATCGAATGTCCGAATATTTGGTCGTATTGACTGGCAGATTATTGAAGAACAAGCCATATACAAAATCAGTCGCAATAACCCTTACAATTATACATTATCATCACTATAAAAGCTTCTCAAGTCAGCGAGTATCTCCAGCCATGATTTAGCAAGATTTAAGTGACGAATAATACTTCTTTTCCTGTTGAAAGTGTATATTCCTGTTAAATTTTTCGATGAAAAATGTACCTTTTAAATCTTTGTTAGGTTTTTGTCACTTTTCATTTGAATCTACTTGAAACAAGCCTCCATAGTGCAATTTTCCTTATTTAAAACAAAAGAAAATTCTCCCTTTTCATGAAGTTTGCATTCGAATATTCAAATTCAAAAACTAATATTTGAATATTCAATAACCGATTGAATATTCGGTTATTTGGATATTTGGCACAGCCTTACAAGAATGGTAGTCAGTTAAATCCATTGCAGAGAAATTTGAAGACTCCAAATGAATGTAACGTGTAACGGGCTTTGCGTGGCAGCCATCTTGTAGGGCAATTCTTTTGTTCCACAGGGAAACCTCCTATGCGCATATGCTGTGGAACAAAGCACTGGCCTGCAAGATGGCTGCCATGCAAACCCTCCGATAGTAACGATTGATCTGTGCCATATAAAGGCCATATATTGACCTTAATTATGGAAGCTTTAACTGCAAAATTAAGCAGTGTTCGCTTGAATTGGAGAAACCTTTCATCCTTTTTGCCATGCTTCACATTCAGATTTTTTCATGATCAATCACCTGCCAGTTTCATGTTAATATTAACTTTGTTTAACTGTACCCTGAACGTGAAGACAAATATGAGTGAATCTAATTTGATAAAATGTCCAATTCCCACTTTAAAATCTCCAGTCCCAATCTAATTTCTAGTGCCGGTTATTCGTCAAAACAAACTAAAAGCCTGCCCATTTCAAATATCAAATACTGAGCATGGACTCTTGGACCCTGACACAAATGAGGATGAAAAAGCAAGAGAAATAAAACATTAAATGACGTTAGATGCACCGCGAGACAAATTGCTGGGTAATTGGCATTTTCTCAACATATCATAATCCAAGAGATGTTTGATTTTGCACTTAGCGTCATCCATTTATCACTGGCCTTTACTTGTACATGGATGGGGACTTAAAAACCTGTGGAGGATTTATGGAGCAAGTGACGCAGGCATGCAGGATCTTTTAAAGCGGTTTTGTTATGCACACTGGCTATATCAGTGGATGCAGATTCATGTGTACATGTTGGATCCAAACAGGGTTTGTGCTGTGTGAGCCGTTCACCCAAAAATGTAAATTGGACGGATTGTGTCTCAGATTAGTTATGAAACCTGCAAATTAGTTTTCGCTTTTAACTACATTTTAATTGTGTGTGAATGAAAAGACTCCAGCACCACGGCAGCTTGCAGTGTAATCTGCACAATTATGTTTAAGCTTTCTGATATTTATAGTTCCATCAAATCACAAATAATCTGGGCTCTTTGATTCATTTCCTGTTTTTGTTTTCTGTTTCGGTTTTTTTTTTTACCATCTTGGGGTAATTAAGACAGTATTCAATCAAGAACTTGTGCAGTTTGCTATTTCCGCTACACCTGACCACCACCAATAGGTCCTTTGAAGTCACATTTCAATTTAACCAATTACAGCGCCAGGACCCTTGTTTCCTGCCGCAGATATAATTAAACCATGGGGATGCACAATATTGAATTATGAATGGCCATATCTCCCGTGTGTACCATCAGCGTCAGTGGCCGAGTGTGTTAAGGCCCACAAGCCACAATTTGCATTGCACCTTGGACCCATTCAAGTCAGCTGGTGGTATTGATCTGTGTTTGTTTGGCCGATCCACAGTGGGACCCCAGCTCTATACAGATGCAAATATCGTGCTGGGGATTTAAATCCCCCGCTGACAAGCCTCCCTTCTGCGTTAGCATTACCTTGTTCATGGTTCATGTAGGAACATGCCTGTCGACATGGACAGAAAAAGCTTCTCAAACTTGCCATGTCATTCTATTACAATGCATATAAAGACACATCTAGTTGAGTTTGTACAGATCTCGACTGACATGCTAATCCCTTCAAATTTACTTGATAAAAGGAAAGTCATAATAGCTCTCGAATCACTATTTGCAAATGAAAAAGGCAGGATGCTGAAAAACAAGCAGAATTATCTCTTAAGATACTGCATGGTAATTGGAAATCATATGGAAGGAAATTCTTTGAGAGCAGATGCTGGAAACTGAATGTACAGTAGAATGCTATCCATTGAAAAATATCCCACAAAAGCTCCTTTTGAAGATTTGAACACCTACATGTATTTGAATGCCGAATCGAATAGGATTAGGAACATTTCCCTTTTTATATTACCCCCAAGATTTGTGGCAGCCTTTAGTTAATTGAAATCATTGGCATTTGGCACTGCAATTGAGAAATTTGGGTCCCCGTACCCCTCCGTTGTCACAGCAGCTGTACCGCATTGCTGCTCACCTTGACTTGAACTTTTCTTTGCAGGAGACAAATTTTCAGCCTTCAAATAATTTCCCGTTTTGTGTTCTGAATGCTTTGAGCCATCTGCAATACAATAATGCATACACCTGCCAGACCTAGTAGTAAAAAGCACTTAGCCATGAAGGAATGGCATCTGTGCATATGCATGCAGCCTCTCTTTGAAAGACTAAATTCCCAGACAAAAAGTAGAGTTTATATACTCACTTCAGAGGACTGAGATAAATTGCACTTTGGGCTAGAGTGAATTACTGAATTGCAAGATCCTTGTCAGAAATTTACCCATCGTCTCATTTTCCTTTGATCATCAAATGTTGGCAGATTTGTTCAGTTCCTCGGAGGGGCAGCCTTTATGCTAATTGACACCCTAGGGGGTCGGGGGTTTGAGTTGGGGTGTTTTGTCACGTAGACAGGATACTGGCAAGCATGTGGGATAGCAGAGGTTACCCACAGTGGCAGAATTTTTGGTGGGATGGCCCAGGTGACCCCAATCTTGTTTTGTAACTGAAACCCAGTCACTGGTTCTTGAGTTGTTGCCATAGTGACAACATAAACACAGTGTACACTGAACTTAAAAAGGGGAGAATAAATACAAACAAATACGATTACTTCAAATTTTGACAATGGAGATTTTAATATCATTGAAAGAGAAAGTGGCACTCTTAAATTCATTTTTATTGGATATCAATCTAAAAACATTTTCCTGGTTGTAACAGAGTTTGTGTATATATTTAAACGGCAATACACGTGTATGGCAACAATATTGGTTCCTCATTTTCATTTAATCAGCTGTCCATGCTTGTACCATGGAGGTAGAAATAGATTGTACTAAGCAAAGGTCTGCATCGACACAACTCACACACACCTGTAACTTCATGTAAATATGTTCATGCAGCTCCAGTGTGCACAAGATACAGCCTGCTTATAATTAGCTTGTTACAGACTAAGGTTATTCAGTTTAATTTTAGAATCTGTTGCCATGGATATATTTTCCTCGCTTAAATTTCAAAGGTGTCAGCAAATTGATCTTAAAATGGGAACATCCGGTTTTGTAGATGTAGCAGGAATTCAGTTGAACAAGTAAAGCACTTGAAGGAAGGCCTGCTGTAGTCATAAACAGAGAGTTTATAATTGTTTCGCTTTCCAATCCTTTACAGAATTCCATCCGCCACAATCTCTCTCTCAACAAGTGCTTCATGAAGGTGCCGAGGAGGAAAGACGAGCCAGGAAAGGGGGGCTTCTGGCAGATTGACCCCGCCCATGCCGACCTCCTGGAGAACGGCATCTTCAAGAAGCGACGAAACAGCTCAACAAGAGACTTCTACGCAGAGAGCATCAAACGAATCAAGATTGAGCCGGTGGACGATGAGTATGAATGCGCGGAGAAGCATCACAGCAGGAAACAGGCAGCACCCAAGCGGAAAGCCATCGACCACAACCTCACGAAATTCAGGCCTCTCCAGTTGAACAGTATGGGTAGCGGTGACTTGTCTGACTCTGATGATAATCTTCCGAGTGCTGTTCTGAAGGGTGACTTTGGGTGGGATTCCATCTTCCAGTCGGAGATAGATGTTGAGGGCATCAAGGTGAAGACGGAAGACATCTTGGATGGCAATGAAGGTGAACGTTGCTCCTCACCCTGCTTACAGATTAGTCCGCCCCCTTCCAACGAGGCCCCTCAGAACTTTGAAGACTACTTGGACTTGTCCATCAATGGGGTGCATATCCCGCGGCCAGCCTGGTTCGACGAGCACCTACAGAATCTAGACTTCAGCATGGAAGACACAGAGATGCTGTTGGATGGGATTGACTTGCCTCCATCACCCGTCAGCTCCATCAACGACCAGCAATCACACCCCTGGGCCGAAGCAAGTGGCTGTACATCATTCGATGTAGAAGACTTGTTAGGTCTCCAAAGTGTTTCTGGGGATGATATGCCTTGGGATCTATCACTCCAACCTGTACCATCACCCTGAACTTCTAGACCCTTATTCTAATTTACTGTAAGTGTACATATTCCAAAAGGGCACTCGATCTCTGCCATATGTCATCCCGTAACATGAAATAGTTCAAAGTTATTACAATAGTAAATCATGGGAAAAAGAAAGATCCATGTAAAACAAATTTCTGTCCATGAGTTTGATCCTTGAAGTGCTATATTGTGAGCAAGAATCGATGCAGAATGTCTCAAATCATGTATATTCTTCTCTGCAAATGAATAATGTTGTCTTTAACCTGTTTAAACACAATAGACATTGTTACAGATGAATGCATACATGGCTGCCAACATGTGCCTTACAATCTTTTCATTTGATTTGATTTTGGATCATGAGTGAAAATTGTGTCGATGCATGTGTTCATGGGTTATATTAGATTTATCAGAGTTTTAAGTGGAACTTCTTCATGTGCAGTTTGGCCAGTTTTCAGTCTTCAATTTTTACTTTCAACTGAATAAGTACAATACCTGTGGCATGATTTCAGGGCATCTGGGGCACTGCAGGAGTAGCTTTTGTGTACCTGTCACAGTGTACTCATACATGTACAGTGTAACTGTTGAGGTAGACTGGTGCCGCACAGGGAATTGCTTCATCCACAAATTCCTTATGTTTTCAGGTGAAAGGACAATTTACACTTGGCAACAAACGAGAGTGACCCAAATAGGCTACCGATGAATTATTGATGATTGAAATTGTAATTTAAGTTGGATTTAAGCAGAGCTGGCTCTTGCTGTTTGCGGTGTTTTGTTGCACATAACCTGACATTTATTGTGCATTGCATATATTTATGCATGTAAATATTTTGTCTTGCCCGGTGCAAGCTCGGACAGATCATGTCAGAGAATTTATGAAGTTATATTACCGCGTGTTTTCAGTACAGTTTGACCTGATTGTGTTCGCTATGTGTGACTTTTCCTCTTAATATTGAATAATTCTTTTTCTGAATAACACATTGTTATTGCAGCATCTTAATCATGATCCACAATTCTTGATGCTAACTGTAAAAACAATATTTACAGTGCGTCCATGTCCATACAACATTCACAGCAACTGTATTTGATTTTTCATATTGCCGGGCCATTGACTTTTATCAGTAATTAAATATAGCTCTATGGGCATCACTGGAAAACATCATCCTGCTCATATTCTTAAAAGCAAAGGACTGTGAAGTTATGCTAACGCTTACGGTTGAAAGAGTTGGGTCGCACATTTTGCTAGTTTTCTTTGAAAATTGCAAAATACATGTACTTATATGTACTTGTGTACACATGTAATAATACACTTTATGAAAAGCTTGTGGAACAGGTTTCCTATTTGCTATCAATTAAACAATGGCCACCATACCGTTTGTTTACAATTTCACAATGAATTAGCAATGACACGATTCCGTCCAGGTGTTTTTTGTTTTTTGAGATACAAATGGCAGATGGATTTACTTTATTTTTTATTGCATTCAGTTTGTCTCGGAAAGAAATTAAAAAAGAAACTTGCAATAATACTTGAGCTTTTGGACTGTTCTTGCTTCGTTTGTTCTGTTCTGTCATTCGTGTTACAGTTTACGTTGGGAAACGAAACGAGTACATGAAACTGTGTCCCTTCAGGATACGTGTTAAACTCCACCGATCCCAAATGTGACCATTGTGTCCAAGTAGGTCTGAATGGTAGCTGAGGTGCGTGTGAACAGAAATGGGATTGTCTGTTTATTTATTTTACATCTTTTGACATTAAAAGAGTAAATCAAACGAACAAGGGCTGTCAAGGACAAGCAAAAGTATAAAACTGTTATCTATGCGATGTGTTTGTCCGGACCCCTGTTCAAAAAAAGTAAAAAATTAAATAAATAAAAATAAAAACGATAAAATGTGATAAAAATTGGATATAAAATGGACACGCCCAATAGAATTAGTAAAGTACAAAAAATAAATACACAATCTGAAAAACGATACAAACAAGAACCAGGGGATAAAAAAACAAATTAAAAAGAACGAACGACAGAACAAAATGGATGGATCAAGCCGTGTTTGTTGGGGAGGATTGAATCCCTGTAATGAAAAGGAGAAAATAAAAGACCAAACCAGAAGCCAACAAATTACTTTTTTAATTGTAATGTAAATTTCTGGAATGGGACCCAAAATAGCAATATAAAAGTACACGTCGACAACCCCACATTATTTTTATTTCCTCCATACCTTGTATAACCCTCTGTTTATTTGACGGAAAACCGTCTTCCCCACTACTTTTGAATGGAATTACATGTTTATTTAGACCAAAATCTTACAACTCTCAACCATGTGCACTGTACATGCACGACTGTCTTGTCTCCTCTCAAAATGGCCGTTTGATTTGCGGTAGGAAAGTACGTAATTGCCAATAGTCCTGGGCCGTTTGCCATGAATAAACAAGGTCTTTCTCCTATAATCCCCCGAACACTGTGAATACCGTCCCTACCAGTTGCTGAGCTAATTGTTGACAACACGCATATAGCATACAAGTCAATTTTGTTATTTTGAAAAGTGCAGCTCCCCCGTGCGCTGTTAATTAAAATCTCATTAAAGCGTCTCATTTTGGACTCTGATTTAATTTGGCTTGGCCTTACTAAGAAAACTGTAATCGAAATAGAAGTCCCTAGAGCACACGCGCGCAAGCAACACTGTTTTCATAAGGGTGTCCTCCGCGTTCGGTTACGAAAGTTCACGTCGTCGTACGATCGGAGAAGTTTCCCGGCCAAATGCATTATCGCGGCTGGGGATAAACAGATGCTTCCGGTTAATTTTCTCAAGACTGAAGCATTCATTAACGAAAGAGAAAAAAATGAGGTGGAAGAACAGACGTTTACAAGCAACTATACGTGGGCCTAGTACATACCAGGAATCTACCAATCGACTCTTTTAACATTTGGGCAAAAGAGGCGAAGTCAAAGATCTGGAAATTTCAAGTATTTCTGTTCAGAACTACAAAATCACTGTACGAGAAAGGTGAAAAGTGCAGTGAATAACACTGAGAACTTACCTTTTAGCGGTTTTTGACTTAAGCGAAGTTAACACAGACGAAAATCCCAGTACATATAATTAATATCCAGCTGCATGCGTTCCATCAGTTATCGTCTGCGTTGAGACAACTTTCGAACTTGTGAAGCTGGTCGTCTGCTGAACTTCTCTAGCTTGATGAGCGTGGGATGCTTTCTAGGAAACAGACGGCAGAACCCGTAGCGATACAGCGGAAACGAAATCTGAAGGAGGGTGTGGCTCCTATTGGTTAAAAGTTCCGGTTTCGTTCTCATAGCAGGTATCATAATACGATACTAGGCCCAAGAGGGGGGGGGGAGGTGACGGTGTAAAGACACCCCCCCATCAGCCGCAGATCCACTAATTCCTGAATATCATACTGTCACTAAAACAGAGCGGAAGACGATATTCAGCGTAAAGCTCGTCAGAATGTCAGAAACCCAGGCACTTGTGAACTTGAAACATGAACGTTCACGCCAGGTCCGCACAAACACGTTTTGCACCATGTGCGTGACGTATACACCTCGATCGCTATTCTAAACTCGTTCTGATTTTCACCGAGGTACGAGCTTTTCATCAGATTAAAGATGAGAGGTAAAACAAGCTAATTGGACAGTTTCTTTGCTCTGTGGACTGTCAAATACTATGTCCCAAAAGAAACCTATTCCAGGCCAGTAATTATTCCGTCAGATCCCTTTCACTGTCAGGCAGTCTCTCGATCTAGCTCCCAGAAAAGCCTGCAGTGGGTCTACGTCATGAAGAAACTGGAGCTAGTGGTCTTACACACCCCACCAAAGGTAATCTGAACATCAACGAACAGGATAGCAAAACGAGACCGAAATCACAAGTACATGTGCTTAAAAAATCTCTCTCTGAATTGCTTCTGAAAACGGACATGCAAAACAGTGTGCATTTGCATGATTTTGAGAGAATACTGGAATTTAAGGCATGGATCTGTTCTACAAGAGTGGAGTCGTCACAGTTGTGCTTTTTTTAAATCGAGATTCTTAATCCATTGTGAAATTCAAATTGCGTAACCATCTAACTATCCCGTCCGGTCTCGCAAAGTACAGTGAATGGAACGGGGTTTGAGAGCAGCCAGTGACCCGACTCAGTGCAACGCCCGCCACATCAGAAAGCTACAACCCCTCTGACATTTATACCCAGCAAG